ATGGTACTTAATCTTGAATTTGGATTATAGGTTAAGTACCTGAAGGAAATATTCTTTTCTGGCAGTGATGAGAATGGTGTGGTTGGAAAGTATGCACGAAGAATGATGCTCTACTTATCCATTCCTATTGATGAAGATGTGCAGCAAACTCTTTCCTTTTTCGAAAAGGTTTCGTCTTTCCTCAGTTATAGTAGTATCTGATATTTTGTAGAAGCACTATGTTTTTTCTAGTAAGATGAATGTTGAATGTTCTTTAGATTGAAGCAAGGCGTGGAGGCTTGGACATGTTGGGATCTGTAGATGCGTCTTTCAGATTTTTAATTGAGTCATTCCCTCGGCTTCTTTTACTTTCAGAAGAGAATGATATGAAGCCTATGGTAGAGTTTCTTGAAAGCATTGGTATTCCTAAAGATTGCTCGGGAAAGTTACTACTCTTGTACCCTCCTATCATGCTTGGCAAAACCGAGGAGAGTAAAAGAAGGGTAGCCGCAGCTCTGGAAAAGGTATGCTAGTGACCGATTGTACATAATTAGCATGTAGCTGCGCTTTCTTCTATTTCTTGTGGTTGCTGATTATTGCAAATTGTGGTTGTACCGGTTCAGGTTAATGCAGTGAATAATGGAAAAGTGTTGCTGAAATATCCATGGATTCTTTCACCAAGCATACAAGAAAACTATTCGCACATTGTCTCATTGTTAGAGCGTGAATCAGTAAGCTTGATTTWRAMARRAMAAAAAGTACTTTATTTCAATTCAGGCCAGCCCTTATGTTGATCAGAGAAATTTCTGTTTAGTTGTCTTTTATCATTGTTATACCATGATTAGTCTTACTAAGACATGGTTCCTATGATTTTCACTTTCTTAGGTGCTCAAAATGGATATAGACCACGCAATTAGGAGATGGCCTCTACTCCTCGGTTGCTCGACAAGCAATATGAAGTTGATGGTGGAGGAATTTGATAAACTAGGTGTTAGAAATAAAAGGATGGGGAAGGTTATACCCAAGATGCCTCAGCTTTTGTTATGTAAACCCCAAGAGTTTCTCAAGGTAAAGAAACCATGTCCAAAATGTGTATTCTCTCGTTCTACATTCTAATATTGTGAAATATTATGTCTTTAACCATATGGTTTCTCACCTTGTAACAGGTTGTTTATTTTCTGGAAGATTTGGGATTTGGGATTTGAAAAGGAAATCGTAGGTCAAATACTTTGTCGATGTCCTGAAATATTTGGCTGCAGCTATCGACAAAACCCTGCAGAAAAAGCTGACATTTCTCACTCGTTTCGGTGTTTCGAGTTCCCATTTTCCCCGAATCATAAAGAAATACCYGGAATTTCTCATATACGACGCAGACAAAACAGTACTTCCTCGGTATCTATTTCAGCCAACTAACGGATCACTCAGTGAATCTTTCTTTGGCTCATGACTTCTAATTTTGTAATCATTTGCTCTTGCAGGCTAAAGTACCTAATGGAGATTGGGATATCAGAGAGGGAGCTTGCCTTCATGATTCGTAAATTCTCACCGATATTAGGATACAGCATTGACAAAGTACTTAGACCCAAGTTAGAATTCTTGGTGAACAGCATGGAGAAACCGGTTAGAGAGGTAGTAGATTACCCGAGGTATTTCAGTTATTCGCTGGAGAAGAGGATAAAACCGCGGTTTTGGGTACTCAAAGGGAGGAACATAGAATGTAAATTACACGAAATGTTAGGCAAAAACGATGAAGAGTTTGCTGCTGATTTCTTGGGTTTAGGAGAGCTTCAAACTCACAATGAAATCTCTTAGATTATAGGCTAAAAGTGTCTCTGAGAAAATCACTAATGTTATGAGATTGGTGATATCTCTAAAGCTTCTGTAGTTTTGTTTGTTTGCATTGTTCATATAGCTGCTAGTGTATTTACTTGTACTGTTCTTGTATACAAAAGTGAATCAATTCTACACTTCTTTAATCAAAAAAAGTTCCCTTGATACTTCATGAACAATTTATATAAGAACGTTTTTGTATGGATTTTTGGCTTGATTTTCACTATTATATTAATAAGAACAAAAAATGATATGAATTAAAAGAAAAGCAAACATGAAACATTATCCCAAATTTTCCATCTGGAAACGGTTTCTCGCTC